CATTACTTAGGGGGAGATTGTTAAACCCCATAATTCATAAAGTGAAGAAGTAATGAAAAACAATAAGTGATGAAGAACCAGAAGACCGATGAAGACATCAAGGCAGAATTGGCTAAGTCTGGTGAACAACCAGAGGACCGATGGACGACCAGGGATGTGATGGAAAGAGCATCTTCATCGCCCCTCTGGTCAACAACACTTAGAGAATTCTTCAACAAATCATCCAAAGGCATACGATGAAGATTTAAAGATAAAGATGATTCATCATACAATAGAAGACAGCTGGAGATGACAAGTCGACAGTTACACTTCAAGTTTATCTTAATATTAAAGCTTATCTACAGTTTAGATAAACATTATCTGTAAATAGAAGATTAGGTAAAAAGTCTCGTTAGATAGTTATCTTCTAATTAGCTTTCTAGTATAAATAGGTGATTAGGCCTATTGTACTATATGTCTTTTTTACATTTTTATTATTAATAAAGTGAAACCTTTGACGCTCAAGACTGTTCTTTAGTGTTTATAATTTATTCTTGAGTGTTCATCACTTTCTCCATTAAAACACTATAATTTGGTTATTCTTAACTAGATTATTAGTGTTATTGAGAGATCTGGGATCAACAAAAATAGAGCAACGGTGGTAAAGAGCCACATGAAGACGCCTTATGAACTGATTAACCAAAGAAAGTCTAATGTTAAATTTCTACATGTCTTTGGTTGCAGATGCTTCATCCTAAATGACCATGATCAACTTGACAAATTTGATAAGAAGTCTGATGAAGGTAAGTTTCTTGGTTACTCTACACAAGCCAAGGCTTATAGAGTCTTCAACCAACGAACCAAGACTGTCATGGAAAGCATCAATGTCTCGTTCGACGATAAAGAACACATGACTTCAGAGTACCTCAGCTCTGGACTCGAACTTAACAAGTGGACTTCCAGTTTTCAAATGAAGTCAAGGGAATTGGAACTCAACCTCTTATTTGAAGACTTCTTTGGTGATGACGACATCTTTGTACGTGAACCCAGAGATGAGTCTGCCCGTGTAAGTGAAGAATCACAAACTAGAAGCACTTCTATCTCTAGTCCTTCACACACATCTGCTTCCTCTGGTGATCATGCAAATCCACAACCAGAGCAAACAAGCTTTGGATCAGAGCCCAGTCATATAGAGACAGCGCATAACATCTCTGTTTCTGAACCTGGTTCCTCTGTACCATCATCCAAGGGGGAGCAAGCAGAACCCTCTTCACCATCCATGAGCCAAATGCCAAATATGTCTACGGAACGTGATCAAATGACCCCGACCTCTGTCTTTGTCCCACAACAAGATGGACAAAAGATCATCCTCTTCACCAAATCATTGGTGAACTTTCAAGTGGTGTGAAGACAAGAGCTGCCACGGCAAATTAATATTTATTCGTAAACTTTCTAAGCATGGTAGAGCCTAAGAAAGTTCATGAAGCCCTACAAGACCCAAGTTGGGTTGATGCCATGCAAGAACAGCTCCAACAATTTGAAAGAAACAAGGTATGGACTCTTGTGCCTTTACCTAAGGATAAAATTGCTATTGGTTGTAAATGGGTTTTTAGGAATAAGAAGAATGAGGATGGGATCGTTGTAAGAAATAAAGTCAGGCTTGTAGCAAAAGGCTATTGCCAAGAAGAAGACATAGACTATGACGAGACTTGTGCGCCAGTAGCAAGGCTAGAAGCTATACGCTTATTCTTAGCCTTCTCTGCACATAAAGGATTCTGAGTTTATCAAATGGACGTCAAGTCAGACTTTTTGAATGGTAAGCTGAAGGAGGAAGTCTACGTTCAACAACCTCCGGGGTTTGAAAGTTCCACACATCCAGAGCTAGAAGCTCTGTTAGAGGAACCAGAGGGGCTCTGGTCCTCTTATGAGTTGAAATATTATCCAAGTATATTCTTTGAAACTAGAGGTCCGATAGACTCAAACAGAATGTGGTTTTTATCCTTCATTATATGAAATGATTTAAATATTTTGGTGATCTTCACCTTGCATTACATAAAAAGGGAACCTCACTAGACATTCATGTTTAACCCTCATTTTGTGTTTTCAAAATATGTGTGCAGATAATGATAATAAGGAAAATAGCATTATGTGAATTATGTCCCTATGTGCTTAGCTGTATGAAGATCTTAATTAGCCATGTTTTGAAGTATAGATGTCAAGATACAAGAGCATGTACTTTTGAAATTTTTGAGTTGTGTATTTTGTAATGTAGACTCTTGTATTATGGACCTTTGTGGGCTTAACATGTATTCTATGTATGAAATATGTGTTAAATATGCAATGTGAGATTGGGGGTGTTACAGAAGTTGGTATCAGAGCCTGAGTTTAAGAGACTTAGGTATTCACATGCATGATGCCTAGACTTAAATTGTTTCATTGCATATAAGAGTCCCAGACATAGTTAGCACCTTTGAAATAAATATGATAAGTTAAGAGATCAGTGTGTAAGGTATTTTCGGATTACATCTGGTCAAATGTAATTTTGAATCTACAGGTACATGACTGAACTTGGACACTTTATTATATTTGGRAATGTGAATATGTGTTTATTAACTTTGATATCTACAGATGACTAGTAGATCCAGAAGATCTGAAAGGATCACCCGCCCCAACCCCAATGAAGAAGAGTCTCCTATCGCTCCTATTGGTACCTCTAAAAGAAGAGGCAGAGGCCAAAGCAGAGGCAGAGGCCAAAGCAGAGGACAGACTAGAGGCAAAGTTAGTCAAGCAAATGTCAATACAACCTAACACAACCCAGCTCAATCCGTACGAGTTAGGTTGAGTTATACTTTTAAATGGGTTGGATTGAAATTTCTTCAAACAGTCATAATTGAGTTGGGTTGTATAAATACCGAAAACCTTCCGACCCAACCCGCATAGACCCCTAGAGATGGAGCCCTTATAACCGGTTATAGCCCAAAGTGTTGCATCAATTACAAGTTACAACAGTACTTGTATTTCAAAGCCATAATGCCCCACTTTAAACCCTAAAAGCATACCAATAAATGTTTAGTTACCTGATAAGCACATAATATAGTAGGGAGGATGCAATGGGAAAATTGAAGATGCCAATTAGTAGTAGAAGTAGTATCACACATAAGCATACAACAATGTGCCAAAAACAATTTTGAAGCAAACCCCCAATCTATCTATACAAGCAGCAAAACAACTCCTCTATATGTGCAACCACATTGATATACACAGACAGACAAATCGATTAGAAAGCACCACCCTCTTTTACCAACTGCCTTCACCAATAGCAGCTACCTTCTTCAGTTTTTGCGATCCACCCTCGCTAGATGATCCCGCTTCTGATACATCACCAATGTCTAATGACTCTGGAAGATTCTCCGAGAAGTCACCGCTGTGCACCTGCAAATATTACCAAACACGGTTTTTGACCAATGAAATTAGATCACATATATCCAGAGCGTATGATATATTAGACTTGACCTCTACCTCTAACAGTGAGCCGGACTTGCATGCAAACAGAAACAGGACCAATAAAACCTAACTTAGCCTACCATATTATTTGGTACATATTGGGTTTGTTTGGGTTTGGTTTTTTACCTCAAGTTGATTCAGCATTTCAACTGTGGCTTCCATATCACCTCCGTTTGCTGTATAGACACTGGAAAGAGATTCGTCGGATACACCAGAAAAAATCATCTGAAGATATGCCAAATTCATGTCATGATCAACATCCATTGCCTGTTTTCCGGCTAACTCTGCACTATGTGATGATGAGCCAAAAACAGAATGATTCTTAAGTTTCAAGCTATCAGGACTGTCAGGAACAGCAGTAGAAGCATCATAGTTTTGTGTAGTACTCCCAGGATCATATGCTAGCCAAGCAGCCTGATTCCTCATCTTTGAATCTGTCACTGTCGATTCATGGCCTTTGCTTTCATCATTTGGCCCTCTTCTGGAGAGTGGAACATATGAAGTAGCGTATGGATTCAACGAAGATGCCCTTGCCTTCATTGTCTTAGTTCATCAAATGACTTCTCAGGTACCCAGCAAAAGAAATGAATTTTCATGAAGAAATATTTCTCATTGTTATCATTTGGTATAACTACAGAAACACAAGGCTTCTAAAAGATAAAATATATAGAAATATAATAATAATCACCATACATGAATCATATTACCAATAGTTTCACCTCAAACTAGCTTTGATTTCACAACTACATGTTCATACACAAAAAGGTAGAAAAGAACACACAGGGTTATTGCAGTGCCTGGAAAAAAAACAAGGTTGTAACATTAATCTAGTCCACTAGGACAAGAAGAATATGTGATATCCTTGTAAAGCATACTCAATTCAGGAGATTGTGAAGCTAGACGAGCAAATTTGGAAGTAAGAACTGAATTCATTCAGATTTTAAGATTTGATAACAATAGTAATCCAGTAGCACATGTTTATGCCAATTTAACACACCATTATCTGTAGACATCTTGACATTAACATCTTTGTTTACCAATAACCAAGAAGAATAACGTGGAATGTGGATAGACCACATTTCCTAATCCAAAACACATATTTGTGAAAAGAATATGACATGCACCCACCGATTTTCAATTCACATATTCTAAGACGAAGACTCGAGGTAAGGAAAATAAGGCTGGGACCACGGCGGTGGGAAAATAAATCACTAACAATTTCGTTGAATTGCATCGCAGGGGATTCCTCCTTGAGGGAATTTAGGGGAATTTATTATACTAGTCGGTTACTAGTTTATTTATCTGAAAATTAACTCATGTCTTGTAATAGGAGTCTAGCCTCTCAAATGCTAGCCCTCTCCACTTTCGCCATTGGAAGCATATTTCTGCCATAGAGCATTTTCCTTTGATTTCCTTTGTCTGTTATCTTTGTTCCTGACATTGTCATTTAACATGTCTTGAAAAATTTTCACACCTTACAGCTTGAATTACCTTTGTTGACACACACACATATGAATATGGACCGTTAGCATAACAATAAATGCACCAAGTTGGATTAACAAGTTGATGAATTCTATGTTAATAATCAAATTTTACGACCGTCTGTTTAAACAAAAGCAATGATATGCATGTGATCAAAATTTATGGTAACGAAATGCACGGTATAATAAGCATGATGGAGAGTTTAAAGCAGGGAAAGAAATGAGAATGAGCATTACTTTGTGGTATTTGTATAGTAAGAGTATCGGCAACAAGTTATATTTTGTATAGCAGCATGCTACAATGTTTGTGAAGATGACTTATCATCTATTCTCCAAGTCAATTAGTTGCAAGAAAGAAATTAAATCCCACCATATGTGCAAAAAGGATGATCAGTATTTTATCAATTACTTCAATCGAAATAGAGATCCATTAGAGTGGCCATCTCAAGCTTTTGATCCCTACTTTTGTACTTCTAAATACGACACAGGTCAAGCACTCCTTCCCTGTTTCCTGACAGCATGCAGGTAAAACACAAGTAAAAAGTAATACAAGGATAATTCCGATGCAATGCTTCCAGCTGGTACCCTTCCTAAGTTGGAAGAAACAGGAAACAGGTTATACACATGTTCCTTGTCAATCTTCCCCCATCTTAGTGGAGAGGTCTATAAATGTTCGTGGATATGATGTTATGGGTTTGGAAGTGCCAATTACAAATCTTGACAAATTTTGCAGATAGGAACACATGCTCCCACGACTATCCCTGATTTACAACATGAAGTTCCACATGATTAAATACCAGTCAAAGCCTTAAGATCAACCTCCAACTCCTAGTCACAAACAAAAACCTACCCCAGGCCTACAAAACCATATTTAGCGCCACCTCAATGTTCACTAGCACCGCTGTAGATTAGTGTCTTTGAGATGCACCTAGAACTGCCACCACTCTCCAATGACTTTATTCATCAATTAGCAAGTTACAATCAATTTGTGTGTTGGGAATCCATGGTGAAATTAGCTTTGGCGGAAATCTGCCTAAATGGGCTCGAGGGACTGACAAGGGGAAAAGAAGGCCTGGGAATCGAGGCATTCACAAATTACATAAATACTATGCTGCTGGCTTCTAGTTGCTCATCCAGATATACACAAAACATCAAGAATTCAGAAAGAAAAGGAATAAACGACTGACAACTTATGATAATAGGTGGACAAATTATCAAGAGTCAAATTCCATATCCTTTTCCCCAAAAACACACCTAGCTAAACCTCTAAATCTTCATATTCTTCATATTCTATTCTGATGAAATCTCAAATAGAAATGACAAAGAAGCATGTGCATACTCGATAAACAATATGTTGCCAATTGTCTGCAGCGTATTTATTGTATGTCAACAAATAAACTTTCAAATTCATTATTTCTTGGCACTCTACAGGGCATTAAACATAAGTATTTCCAACCAAACTACGATCCATAATAGTAATACATGTCTAGAAAAAAAACCCTAATACACAAACATTCACAAGAATTCAAATACATTTATAAAGAATAGCAATTCCAATAAAGTTTAACCTAAAGATAACCTCAACGCATAAGCACAAACCAAAAGATCGAAAAAAACAGATAAAACGCCTAGATCAAGATACAGCGAACAATTTGACAACAAAAGAGATTCTATTAACCTAAAAATATCTTACATGATGATCGATAAGGGATGATCAAGTAACGCGACAAGCAAGCGACCGATCCAACAACCGGAAACCCTAAATTTTTGCTTGCGGTGAAGAAGATCGTCTCTCTCTCTCTCAAGAATCTAAGTTTCTCTCTCTAGAAATGGAATTGGGGAGAGGAAAAAAGGGATCGCAGGGTAAACGGGGAAGGGAGGCTCGTTTTTGTCTGGACCCTTTTTCCCAAAATCTGGAATTAGCAAATTTGGAGTACCGAGTACATTGCATAGCGTACATATTGCAGGCAAAGTTCAATTTCAGTCCTTATCATTTTTCTTGTAAAATAGAGTAAAGTTCAATTTTAGTCCCTGTCATTTATAATTTTCGTCAAATATAGTCCTTAAATTTTAAAAACTTGAATTTGGGATCTTCACATTAGTCAATTTCAACGGATTCTCTACCTTAGTCTAGTAGTCGTTAACCTTTTCCTCCAAGTTTAATTAAGGGTATTTTAGTATTTTTCATATATTTCTTAATTTTCCATCAAAATTAAAAAAACATAGTGTATCCTATATAGGGGCGGATGCATGAGTATTTGGTTGGGGTCCTGGACCCCTAACAAAATGTATTGTTCAAAGCTCAATTTTTTTTTAACTTTTAGTTTTTAATTTAAAATAATTGAGCCCCCAACAAGAAGACCTTGAAGGCCTCACCCCACTTCCATTTCCTTCTTCTATCACCCTTCAATCTTCATCAGTCACGCACGTCTACTGCTTCTGCGCTTCTTCTTCTTCTTCTTCACGCGGTCATGTCGTTGCTGCTTCAGTGCTTCTTCTTCACTTCTTCTTCTTCATCAATCGTTGTTGCCTGTTGCCTACTTCTTCCTTCCGGCTTCCAATAATTTGGGTAAAAATTCTAATATCCAAATTTCAGTCTTTAATGTTTAATTACTTTAATTTTGTTGTTTGTTTCACAATTGGTGATTTGGTAAATGCTTTATGTTCGGTTAATTTTGCAATTATATAGACAAATGAAAATGTTAGGTTAATTTTGCAATTTTGTAGACAAATGGAAATGCTAGGTTAATTTTGCAAATGGAAATGTTAGGTTAATTTTGTAGGAAAATGGAAATGTTAGACAAATGAAAATGTTAGGTCAATTTTGTAATTTTGTGTTGAAAAGCAGTATGCAAGACAATTAAAGATCAAGTGTTATTTGTGAATTATATGATCAGGCAGAAGGAATAATTCCTAGTTGGTAGGTCTCCTTGGGTGCTCATCTTAAGAAGAATACTAAAAGATTAAAACATAAGCCTTAGAAGTCACTCTCCACCACATCATTACATTTCAGTAAGCAGGATACTCAGTACCATACATGAAAAGGTAAATATATAAGTCATATTCACTCAACAAATATAAATTGTAGGGTCAATGCCTAGTTTACTTTAACCGCATCAGTTATCTTTATTCGGTTAACCGAACAGTTTAAGCTGAAAATGAAAACCCGAAATCTTTTTTGGTTTGGACGAATTGTTCGGTTTCGAAATTTTTTCGACCCTCTTAAGTGTGCCCTCAACCATAATAGTTTCTAGATCCGTCACTGTCCTATATACGTGATTTTTATATTTAATAAGTTTTGTATTTGTTTTATTTTGTTTTTTTAGTGATTTTTATATGTTTTACTATAAATATATTAAATTACTATATTTAATAACTTCTATATTTGGTTTATTTTGTTTCTTTAATTTCTTAATTAATTTTCTATGTGTATGTTTTCTAGTTACTTAATCTAAATATAATAGTGATTAACTGATTGTGGAGATAATGGATTGATGGTGTAGCTAAGCAATTGATTTTTTGGTTTCAAAGACAGGTTTAGAATTATGGGTTCTATAGTTTACTTATTTGGTATGGAAATATGAAATTATGTTTTTTTTGTCAAGTGTATGGATATATTGATTTTGTTGTTTTACTTTCGAGGTTTATTCCCATGTACCTGAGAGAAAAATGCCTCAAGACTCGTTTCCGTTCTTTAAAACATTGCTTATATATGTATAGGGGAAGGGTTTAAACGAGAATATCCCTGTTTTACGAAAATACGAAAACACTTTTGTGCCTCAAAATTAATCAATATATCATAAAAATTAGAATAAATGAAAATTAATTAGTATTTATCCACAATTTTTTGTTATACTAGATATATCTTCATCTCTTAAATTTTATTATTATCATCAGAGATTTTTTATGTCGAGACGTCCGTTGTCGATAATAATGTGATAATACTGTGATAATTATATGATTTTATCATGATAGTAATGTGATAATAATTTGATAAGTTGAAGACTTTTTATGATATGATTTTGAAGTGATAATCATCTAATAATTATGTGATTTTTGTTATGATAGTGATGTGATAATGTTGTGATAATCGAAAAAGGTCACCTCTACATTCATCGCTCTGACTTTTCATTATGTGATCTTCTTGTGACAATAATATGATATTTGATACCAGTTAACATATTATTTGTATGTGATTTTAGAGATAATGATGTGACCAAAATTACAGATAAATATGAAATCATGTGACCTTAATTAATTAGTTTATTTTCTTTTAATTCTTGCATTCTAGTAAAACAGAGGTATTCTCGTTTGAACCTCCACTTATATGCATATATATATATATATATATATCTATATATAAATATATATATATATATAATATATGGGTAAGATCAAATGTTAACCAAAGTTTTTGTGTTAACTTTGTTAACCGATCTTGGTCATTCAATCTTTCAATAWACGGTTGTGATTAATCATGATAAAAACTTATTTTTTTAAATTTAAAATTGCATAAAGATAAGTTAACAATGTTGAAAAGGGTATTTAGGTAAAAAAAAATTATGTAACTCCCATATCATTAATTAATTTGGAGTTACAAAATCAAAATTTTATGATTTTTTTGTTAATTTATTTTTGTTAATATAAGAACCATATGAACACAACTATATATGTATGAACCATTGTGTCAAATACGAACAAAAATTTGACAGATATATGAACTTGGACTGCATAGCATTTATAAACACAATATGAACATAATAAGAATAATTGTTATACGAAAGAAAATAAATAAAAAAACATGTATGAACATGATATGAACAGCTTGTGAACAATAGTTCATTCATTATAAACACATTCATGAGCGATCCTTTGTCAATTGGAGTTTTATACATGCATTGCATCCACACTATTTAAGGTTCACCCCTTGTTCATATATGTTTCTGATCTTATATGGTTGTTCACCCCTTGTTTATATCGCGTTCACCTCTTGTTCATATCGTATAAAATATATGAACACATAACCCCAACGCTATGAACACCGGGTGCAAACACTTATACAAATGTAAATATTTGGTATCAAGGTTAAAAAATAACATTTATGTTCATATGATAGAAGTAACATGAACACAATGGTTCATGATTCATAAAAGTCGGTAATATGACAATATGAAAATGGGTCGTGCATGTACTTCCATTTGAACATGATAGATATCAATACAAGATGAGTTATAAAAAACACAACACATCGTAATGAACATAATTTCGATTAAAACGAATCTAAAAAAATAAAAATCTATTACCAAGACATTCGCTTTGGTTAATTTCTTCAATTTCCGACCTCGAACTCCGATTGTCATCATAAACCATTTTAATCTTCTCACTGTTGTCGATTTATTTTCCATTACGTTTATCTATATTAGCTTGATCGATATCGAAAATTTTTACTACCGTGTTTTCTATGCGAATTAAAAACTGATAAAACAATAAACATGGAAGATCAAGATTAAAAAAAATTATTAATATTATAAATATATATTTTTTTGGGATTTGATGATTTGTAACTCCTCATTAATTGTTTGGGAGTTACATATCAAATAAATTTACTGAAATACCCTTGTAATTAAAATGTGAGTATGACATAAACTTATAAGAAGAATGTAATTTGATTGGTTGCTATGGTTTTTAAAGTTAACACAAAGTTATTGGTTAACATTTGATCTTCCCCCTATATATATATATATATATATATATATATATATGTGTATTATTAGAGTAAATTACAGATTCAATCCCTGAGGTTTGTCATTTGTTATGAAATTGGTCCATTATCTTCATTTATTACAAAAGAACCCTCCACCTGTGCAATTTGTATTTGATTTGGTCCCTCACATTAACCTTCATCCACTTTCTCCGTTAACCACAAGGGCAAAATGGTATTTTATAGCTTTTATTTATTTTAACCTTTTTTGTCAAACCTTTATAAAATATGGGCCAAATAAGAAAAGTATCATATTAAACCTAAAACAATGTCACACCTCCCTTTTTTCTCACCCCCTCTCTCTCTCTCTCTCAACCTTCTCTCCCATTTTTATTACCTCTTCTTATCGACAATCCTAGTTCCTTCTCCTTTGACGTCTCTTTCTCTCTCTTTCTTCCTCTCTCCCTCTCTCTTATCATCACTTGTGGGTATGAGACACTCTTCCGTTCTAGGTATCTTCTTTTATGCTCTGAATGGTTATCTTTGCTTTTAGAGAACCAAAGAAATCTTTATCGCTCTATTGGAACATTGGGTCTTCCTTCTCACCTACTATGATACATCCACTCACCCTAGAAATGCCTTTCACCAAAAGATCAAAATAGAGCCAAAAAGACCAAGAAATAGAGTAGGTTCTTCTACGCTTGATTTTGTAAAGTTTAATGATTTACCAAATTAGTATAGTAGTTTTTTTTATGTATCTCCAGTTATTGTACTTTTTTCTTTCAGTACTTACAATCCTGAAAATTCTAGTGAAAGAATTATAACTGAAGTGCCTCATTCCTTCTAAATGATTAAAAGATCCCTGAAAACAGTAAATAGGACATTGTATCTATAAGTTATGTTATCTTTATATAACTTAGTGTTTCATACTTAATGCTTTGTCATCTTCAAATAAGGGGATATTGTTGATCTAGCTGATTCTTTTCAGTGATTTGATGATGATAACATTTTGCACTTAGTGAATTCTTGTATTAAATTCTTAGATGATGGCACAGTCAACCACTGAGTATGTTCAGTGATCGTTGAAAGTTTACTTAGTAAATAGAACTTATGATTAATATCTATGACTGTTCTGTTAGTGACTGTAATAGTATACTTAGTGATTTTATTTTGTAACAACTCAATGACCCAAAGATAAAGTCTTGCATACCT